TGATAATGGGTTTAAACGAAGAAAATGTATCATGTCAAGAAAGAAATTTTTTCCTTACTTTATGCCGGCACTGTGGTAGTGTAGGACGAATGGAAATCTTACACCGGGTTATACCGCAATATTGCATCGCCCCGTTGGTTCAAGTCGGCGAGGGGGTGGGCGGTATTGGGGCAGGCCACAGCTCCATGGCATTTAAGCATTTGCAGTGCGTAGGACACAAGACCTCGTCTCTGAGTAGGGGGTATAACAAAAGCATATTCCAGCCCAAACAAGAATGCCACTATCTGTCAGTGAATACAAGAAAAATGACATATGATCACGATGATCTGGGGTAACTTCAACGGTTGGAAGCAGAAAAGCAAACTGGCGTGAAATACTGCGGTACAACCAGGCTTAAGACTTCCAGTTGCATTACATTAAGGCAATCTTAGCTAAGACTAAGAAAAAAGCTTCTTCCATTAAAAGGTACATTTTTTCCGCTTAAATCCGATACCATCATACATTATGTCAATTATGACACCTGTCAGGATTATATGGGAATAGGATGAATTGTAATCCAAGGCGCAGTACCTTAGTTCCTTTTCTTTGTGGGGTCGGTGTCACAGCAAGTTACAGGGAGTGTCCTGTTTTGATGTGATGCGGCCGTACTGAGTTTTGATGCGCGGGTCCTAAGAATCCCTTAGAACACGTTCCGTCTTCGGAAATTTTCTTTTCTCACAGCTTTCATAATACTCTATTCTCTCATGGCGATGCAGTCAAGCAGGTTCAATTGTTTCACTTTCGTGGCTTTAAAGGGAAAACTTCTTTGCATTACTCTCCATTCCTCAGTGAGTCACATCAAGGAGTGGTCGACAATATTTTCCCACCACATTCTTCAGGCGAATAGTCTGAGATACATGTTGGCTTTCATTGTTCGTTTGTAAGTGGAGTAAGACAGGTTGGTGTCATTAGAATAGTGGTCGGTAGCAAGTTACGCCCAGTATCAGGATGTGATCTAAGCTGCAACTGGGCAAGTTAGCACGGCACAGTGAAGAGGCGAACTTAAATACAGTCTTTCTTAAAATTTCAGCTGTTCAAAGCCCGTTATTTAGACATCATGCCTTTCTGTAAGTCCCCAAGAGGGTACAAAGCTTTTCAAAAACTCCGGGGGGGAGGGGAGGGGTGTCAAAGTAGTTACAACCCCAAACAGACCACTGTCAACAGTGGCTCAAAAAAGAGTGAATAAATGGGAATCTAGAAAGAACACCACTGTCGAACGAAAAAATTACCAAAAGTTCAATGGTGACTACCATCCACAATGGGAACTTGGACCCAACATGACATCGACAAGCGTCAGTAGAGAATCAGTCGGTAGAGCTAAACACTAATTATTGTTAATCATCGCTGTGCATCGCACTTGAATAGAGAAGTCGGGCAGATAGTGATCACTCCGCCGCCGTTCCGGGTCCCTAGCCCGGATGAGACTGGAGGAGGGCACGAAATCGCAGCGAAGTCTATGTAAACTTCAGCCACCTGCCCTTCATGGAACTGACACAATCGAAAAATATTCCTGCTCGATACCAACGGCCGTGCAACCTCCTACGGAACTGAGGCAGACTGAAAAAAAGGAGGCGATCAGAAATTGCTCATCGCCCTCTGCCAATCAGAAGCGTAGCAGCAGAATAACGGCTGACGAAGATCGA